GTGGACCTTTTATTTGGAAAGCAGAACTGCCTCGGTGATTCTCTTGATCATTGTTTGTTTCAGGAACGCGGCCAAGCCGCTACATAAAATATACTCTTCTTCAAAAGTTCATCGAGCAACACTTGTCGGGGCCATATTTTGGCACCCAATCAAAATTATCTAGGGAGAATTGAATGACATGCAACTAACTAACACAGCTGGGGACCGGCGGGACGGAGGAAAAATCGGGACTCCCTCCCGCGTGGCTCCGGCCCAAAGTATCAACCCTGTCTCCCAATGGGTCTGGTGCTAGGGTAACGCCGACAAGGTTTGACCAGAGGAAAATTGGCGACTCTTTCGTTGGGGGAAGAGAGAGGGGAGGGGTGTTTTAGAGCGCAGCTCTTAGGCCCCCGTTTCCGGCTTGAGCGGCGTCGCCGTCGCCGTCGCCGTCGCCGTTGGCGTCGCCGTCGGCGTCGCCGTCGGCGTAACCGCGCGGTGCATTATGGGTAAATTTCCCCGCTAAATCTAGCGGAAAAATTTCCCCGCTAAATCTAGCGGAAAAATTTCCCCACTAAATCTAGCGGAAAATTTCCCCACTAAATCTAGCGGAAAAAATTTCCCCACTAAATAGCGGAAAAAATTTCCCCGCTAAATCTAGCGGAAAATTTTCCCGCTAAATCTAGCGGAAAAATTTTCCCGCTAAATCTAGCGGAAAATTTCCCCGCTAAATCTAGCGGAAAATTTCCCCGCTAAATCTAGCGGAAAAAATTTCCCCGCTAAATCTAGCGGAAAAATTTCCCCCCTAAATCTAGCGGAAAATTTCCCCGCTAAATCTAGCGGAAAAAATTTCCTCGCTAAATAGCGGAAAATTTCCCCGCTAAATCTAGTGGAAAAAATTTCCCTGCTAAATCTAGCGGAAAACATTTCCCCGCTAAATCTAGCGGAAACAATTTCCCCGCTAAATCTAGCGGAAAAAACTTCCCCGCTAAATCTAGCGGAAAAAATTTCCCCGCTAAATCTAGCGGAAAATTTTCCCCGCTAAATCTAGCGGAAAAATTTTGGTCACGTGACCCGGGGGGTCACGTGACCTGGGGAGTCACACCCCGAGGTCACGTGACCCCCTCCCGAGGTCACGTGACCTCTGAGGGGGGCACGTGTTTGCCCCCCACGTGACCCCACCAAGGTCACGTGTCCTCGGGGGGGGGTCACGTGACCCCCCCCCCCCCCCCCCCGAGAACACGTGGCCCCCAGTACCCTCCCCTCCTCCTCCTCAAGAGCTGCGCTCCAATTCGGCGTTACAGGGAGTGGTAAACGGCTTTCACTTTTAGAGCGCAGCTCTTAGGGGCCCGTTTCCGGCTTGAGCGGCGTCGCCATCGCCGTCGCCGTCGGCGTAACCGCGCGTTGCATCATGGGAAATATCCCATAATGCACCGCGCGAGCCCCCCACCCGGGTCACGTGACTTCGTGGGGAGGCACGTGACCCCCCCCGAGGTCACGTGACCCCCCGAAGTCACGTGACTCCCCTGAGGTCACGTGACCCCCTCCTCGAGGTCACGTGACTCCCCTGAGGTCACGTGACCCCCCTCCTCGAGGTCACGTGACCCCCCGAGGTCACGTGACCCCCGCCGATGTCGCGTGACCCCCCGATGACGTCATCGACACTGATGACGTCCCCGGCATCCACATCGTCATCGTCATCATCAGTGATGACGATGACGATGCGGATGCCGGTGACGTCATAAGTGATGATGACGATGACAATGTGGATGCTGGTGACGTCATCAGTGATGATGACGATGACGATGTGGATGCCGGTGACGTCATCAGTGATGATGACATCAATGATGATGACGTCATCAGTGACGATGACGATGTGGATGCCGGTGACGTCATCAGTGATGATGACGATGTGGATGCCGGTGACGTCATCAGTGATGACGTCATCAGTGATGACGACGATGACGATGCGGATGCCGGTGACGTCATCAGTGATGATGACGATGTGGATGCCGGTGACGTCATCAGTGATGATGACGATGACGATGTGGATGCCGGTGACGTCATCGGTGATGATGACGATGACGATGTGGATGCCGGTGACGTTACCGACATCCGCAGCGTCATCGTCATCATCACTGATGACGAAATCAGTGACGTCATTGATGTCGTCACCGGCATCCGCATCGTCATCGTCATCATCACTGATGACGTCGTCAGCGACGTCACTGATGACGTCACCGACATTCGCATCGTCATCGTCATCATCACTGGTGAAGTCATCAGTGACGTCACTAATGACGTCATCAGTGACGTCAGTGATGACATCATCGGCATTGGGGGTCAGGTGACCCCCCAAGGTCACGTAACCCCCCCCCCTGGTTAGTCTAACCCCCCCCCCCCCAGCGCCCTTCCCTCCTCCTCCTCAAGAGCTGCGCTCCAATTCGGCGTTACAGGGAGTTGTAAGCGGCTTTCACTTTTTAGAGCGCAGCTCTTAGGGGCCCGTTTCCGGCTTGAGCGGCGTCGCCGTCGGCGTCGGCGTCGCCGTCGGCGTCGCCGTCGCCGTCGGCGTCGGCGTCGGCGTCGGCGTAACCGCGCGGTGCATCATGGGAAATGTCCCATAATGCACCGCGCGAGCCCCCCCACCGGGGTCACGTGACCTCGTGGGGGGCACGTGACCCCCCCGAGGTCACGTGACCCCGGTGCATCATGGGAAATGTCCCATAATGCACCGCGCGAGCCCCCCACCGGGGTCACGTGACCTCGTGGGGGGCACGTGACCCCCCGAGGTCACGTGACCCCCCGAAGTCACGTGACTCCCCTGAGGTCACGTGACCCCCTCCTCGAGGTCACGTGACCCCCCCGAGGTCACGTGACCCCCGCCGATGTCGCGTGAGCCCCCGATGACGTCATCCTCACTGATGACGTCACCGGCATCCACATCGTCATCGTCATCATCACTGATGACGTCACCGGCATCCACATCGTCATCGTCATCATCACTGATGACGTCACCGGCATCCACATCGTCATCGTCATCATCACTGATGACGTCACCGGTATCCGCATCGTCATCGTCATCATCGCTGATGACGTCACCGGCATCCACATCGTCATCGTCATCATCACTGATGACGTCACCGGCATCCACATCGTCATCGTCATCATCACTGATGACGTCACCGGCATCCACATCGTCATCGTCATCATCACTGATGACGTCACCGGCATCCACATCGTCATCATCACTGATGACGTCACCGGCATCCGCATCGTCATCGTCATCATCACTGATGACGTCACCGGCATCCACATCGTCATCGTCATCATCACTGATGACGTCACCGGCATCCACATCGTCATCATCATTGATGACGTCACCGGCATCCGCATCGTCATCGTCATCATCACTGATGACGTTACCGACATCCGCATCGTCATCGTCATCATCACTGATGACATCATCAGTGACGTCACTGATGTCGTCACCGGCATCCGCATCGTCATCATCACTCATCACTCGCTGATGACGTCATCATCACTGATGACGTCATCAGCGACGTCACTGATGACGTCACCGACATTCGCATCGTCATCGTCATCATCACTGGTGAAGTCATCAGTGACGTCACTAATGACGTCATCGGTACCCGCATCGTCATTGTCAGTGATGACGTCATCAGTGACGTCAGTGATGACATCATCGGCACTGGGGGTCACGTGACCCCCAAGGTCACGTGACCCCCCCACTGGTTAGTTTAACCCCCCCCCCCCAGTGCCCTTCCCTCCTCCTCCTCAAGAGCTGCGCTCTAATTCGGTGTTACAGGGAGTTGTAAGCGGCTTCCATTTTTAAAGTAAAATGACTAAGTGGGCTGGTTGGTACACGCTAATAATCGAAAAGCGCCTAAACAATACGTGGACACGAGGAAGAATTTAGGGTTCTTAGGTTTTTTTTGTTTTTTTTTTGTGCCCGATCCCTAAAGATCGTATTGTTGATAACCTTACACCACTTGGTGATAGTTACAAAATTGCAGAGGGGAAGAAAATTGGCTTAGAAGAGGAAAGGGAGAAATCATACTTTCGTATTTTAATTTCTAGGCTAGGTGGCGCAAGCTACCGCCCGTTATAAAGGGTGCAGCCGTTAGCGTCCATTCACCCGTCTATTCGAGAAGTGCTTCCTGCGTGATGCGTGTGATAGGATCCGAGTTAACGCCAAACACGGACGCAGCAGTCGTGTGCAAGGAATGCTCAAAGTGCATACTCAAACCATGGCGGCCTCGGATGATCGGCGCAGCAGCTGCTGGCGGGCTTGCACATTTGAAAATAATTTATAGCATAAAAATGATCGCAAGCTAAAGCATAGATAGACAATTGGGAAAGAAAATGTATACGTACAAGGCTACCTCGTTCAAAATACGCCACAACCAAGAAAACCACAGATTGAGGGTTTTACATGTAAAACAACGAAGGGTATCTGACACGCCCCAGCGGAGTTCTGAGGATTAATTTCTCTACCAGCTAGGGACCTTGTGACGTGCAGCCGAAGTCTCGGTTATAAGTCTCGCAATAAGGCTTCGTCTATGGCGGGCCCTCCGACCGACATTTGAATCCACCACTTGGAGATCATTAAGAGATGTTAAACCCTAAGCTTGTTGCCGTTCATATAAAACACATACTAAATTCCGTTTAATATTTCTGCTCATAACTAATTTAGAAAATGAAGAGCCAGTTACATCGCTTCATCTGGTTTTCGGTAGTAAATGTAACGCCTAACCACTTTTCAGGATCAACATGGGTATTGGAAATGTGGTCATCCTGAATGACTTTGAGTCCATCAAGACGTTCATGACCAGGAAAGACATGGTTCACCGTCCCTCTGATTGGATCATCAGGCATTCCGGAATTCTGGGTGCGTTATCCGAGCCCTCCGAGCTTTACGTTACCTATAAAATTCGTAGTACATTAAACGAATGTGTGATGGTAGTATTTGTTATATTAATGTATTACCTTTTAACTGACCTTATTAGTTTATTTGTTACCTTGAAATCATTTCAATTTAGTGACTCATTTGAGCATTCCACTCAAACATTCTGGAGTAAACTGAGGAATAAAATGAAAATCAATTCGCGAAGGTATAGTCATAGAATGCATTTTATTTATACAAACAAATTAGCAATCTGTCGCTTTTTTTTAGTATGCAGCTGGGTTTAATTTATTCTGTTGTTCAAGTATTTACTGAATGCAATCAAACAAAAAGCAAGTGTATGACCGCTTGCACTGAAATTATCGGGGCAGCGACTGCGTCTTCGTCAAATCACCAAGTTTACTGATGCTTTTATTCTGTCTATTGTAACTCTTTTGAACGACACAGGTGTGGCGACACTCAACGGCAAACCCTGGGTCGACAACAGACGGGTCTGCTTAAATGCCCTGAGGGAACTTGGCATTGGCCAGACGTCTATGAAGGAACGCGTTCGGGCAAGTGCCATAATAAGTTTTTTTTTGCAACACCACGAGTTTTCTGTCACAAAAACTAACCAGTCATGTCAGCGAGCTAAGCTATACTGTGCTTCATCAGAACCAATCACACAGCAAAAGCAATGACCTCAAACGAGCACATGACTGCTACGTAGGGTGGCACCTGATCATGCTGTAGAAAAATTTTAATCGAGGTAATTCAAACTGTTTATTTCAACAAGTTGCAGTAAGCAGCACGGCAGGTCCACTTTTTAATTTTGAGAAACACCCAACTGCTTGAGAATAAGTAAAATTCTTAGCGGGAATAGGCACGCAAATCAATTAACTATTTCGCATGTGAGCTAGAGCAAGCACAGTCTGAAACCAACTACTGTTAACCTTACTATTGTATTTATACCTCGTCCGGGATAACGGAAATATCTTAATCAAAATGTACGGCCTCACGGTGTTCTCAACAGTAATTGCGCAAGTAGCTTCCAGGGGTTTGGTTTTTGCGGCGGGTAAAAGTCTTTTTTTTTTACGCCTTAGTTTTTTTCTTTATAATCGCCAATGGTCACGAGGAGAGTGAGAATGACAGGACGTCTCTTCCGAACTCCATGCCTCTAGCCATAGCCTCCTCTATGCTCACAAAGCCTGGCAGTTCGACGACGGAGCCATAGAGCGTCCAGACGCAGATTTAGAGCGCGAGGATCTGGTAGCATAATGCATCAAAGAGCCATTTCTCGGGGAACCTGGACTTCAGAGGACAGCTTTTGCAGGGGCAAGGACCCGGAACACACTTGATCGCTCGAGAGAAGTGTGCTTTGGCGTCTCGCCGCAGCGGGGCGCCAGTAACGTGTTTCTCCTCCCATCCCTTGTCTGCAGCTCCCCCTTTTCCATTTCGGCGGCCGCTTCTCGATGCGATCTGTCAGGCTTTGTAAGTATATAGGAGGCTATGCTCCAGCACGCGCTCGCTGCCTTCCACCTGCTTTGGATGCGCGTGCACGCTCAAGGCTCACGTAACGCTGAAACATTATCGAAAAACAAAAGTTCGCGCCTCCAGCGCGAACTTTTTTTCTGAATTTATTCCTCCCTGCCGTTCGCATAATGTCATTGAATTTAATGTATAAATGTTTAAAAAAACGTGATTGGCAAGTATGTGAACGGGCCCGGGCCCGTTCACATACTTGCATCTGCTTAGGACCGACATTCTTGTAATCTCTCCGACTAGAGTAACTCACTGGGACGCTAGAGTGATCTATGAGTTTAGCCTGGAACTGCATTTCACGAGACCGAATATTTTTCGGTATTCGCGAGATCAAATGTAGGTACTATCAATGAGAAATAGTCGTTTTAGGGTATTGTCTAAAGGTTTTCAAATAAAAAAAAAAGAATGATGCAAAAAAAAAAAATTACACTCAACCTGAAAGTGTTTTACTGCTATACCCATAGATTTCAGCAGTGAGTTTCCTCGTCGCGAGATAGTTTAGGAGGTTTTAAGGCACGCAGTCGTAAGTAGCCGCAAATGTGTGAAGCAGTCCTAATTTTACTGAGAACGCAGGAGGAATGCCAGTACTTGGTCAAGCGGATAGCCGACTGGGCCGGCGTTCCGAACCTTCTGGAAGAGTACCTGAAGCCGAGCGTGTCGAACAACATCACGGCTCTGGTATTCGGTCGTCGCTACGACTACGACGACGCCAGACGCAAGTACATGGACGACCGCCTCGACGAAACCATCGACGTTCTGACTCAAGACTCCATAGTCTCGGTGCTACCCCTGTGGGCGTTCAACCTGATGGCGCTCATTCCGTCTTCCACGTGCAACTTCATCAAAAGTCTTGGACATAATCTCCTCCAGTATACCAGGTACGACATCTCTGGAGCCCTTGAACAACATGACCGACGGGTTTCTTTTTTCTGCAAATTGGAAGTTAACTTTTAGTCGCTGCAGCTATGGTTCTCCGTGCTTAAAGATTTGCTGCCAGAAAATAGCTGCGCAGGTTATTGTTGAAATGCGATAACGCTTTTACACCGTCTCGTACAGCAAAAACGTGTTTTCTTTGTTACACTGTTTAAAAACTGCAGTAAAAAATGTAAAATATTTTTCTTCGACATTTATGAATACTTTTATCACACTCAAACCAAATCCACATAATTTGTTCTATCTGTCTACTTCCCGCGGACCGGTCCCCCGCGACCAGCCAACGACATTTGTTGTAGGAATAAAACAGTTCAAAAGTTTCGCTCTTACTACGTCGATACGACCATAATAATATCCAGCCGCTTGGAAGCTATAAAAGCTATATCACATTCGTTGGGCACATTACCTCTTGAATGCATAATTAAGGTGGATATATAACAGATGCGCGTCGCCTGCTTCTTTATTTACGAAGCTTGCCACGGACGCAAGAGTGCGTAGACGTTGCCCGAAAATTCTACCGCATTAAAAAAGTAAGAAGCGTGTAGCTCTGTTTTGGTGCTTTCCAGGGCATGAGTCGAACAGTGAAGATCATGTTCGTTGGCATGCAAAGAAATGACAGTGAACACTGAAAATCTTACGCCTTAGCGTGATTAATTTTACGTTCAGTAGCGTACTTCTCTAAATAAATTTTATTGCTACCTAAGAACGTGCTAACGCAACATATTGTTTTGTAAAGGTCATTTGTCAGCTATGACCAAAGCATTGGCGGATATTTTTTTTCTTATAAATAGAAAATTGTCTAGCCTTAAAATACAATTTCCCTGAAAAAGTAATAAAGAAAGCGGTGAATATATATATATATATATATATATATATATATATATATATATATATATATATATATATATATATATATATATATATTCATCGCTTTCTTTATTACTTTTTCAAGGAAACGGTATTTTAAGGCTAGACAATTTTCTATTTATAAGAAAAAAAATATCCGCCAATGCTTTGGTCATAGCTGTATATATATATATATATATATATACGATATCCACATATGCAACGTCAGAGTGTTCGTCATCTCGTTATGGGTCTTTTATGATCAGCTTAGCCAACAGAGCTCAGTGAACGCACCCTGACCTCGAGATTTTAGTACGATCTGTGTCCGTGTCCGAATGTTTCGTAGTCTTTGACTGCACTTCTTACTTACGGTGAAACAAACCATAGCAATGATTTAAAGTAAAGTTGTCGGAAAAAGGGACGGCATAATCGAGATAATTGAGTGGACGGTCGCAAATAATCACGATCAAAATATTGAATTGCTTTACATTGTGGTATAAATTTCATTTGCAGAAATCAAGTCAAGGAATATCGGGAGTCACAGACAGAAAAGGGAGATTGGCATTTCATCGACAGTTATTTGAAGACAATCAAGGAACACGAAGATGATTCGAATTCCAGTTACACAAGTAAGTCTAACTATAAGCAAATAAAAATAATATTGAAACAAATTGGAGCAAACAAAATTAAGCAGAAATAAATAAAAAGCGAGCGAGAAGCCACACTATTTCGCAATAGTTTTGGAAGATGCTGATGTCTTGTTAAAATTAACACTTTCGCTCCACAAGAAAAAAAAAAAAAAGTCCGAAATGTGACTGGTCTATGATAACAAGACATGTATTTTCCCAGCTTGTCCCCGAAAATGGTGTTCATACGGGGGGGTTTTCATATTAACGGAGTTCATATTAACGAGGCATAGCTGTATGTCTTGGTTTCCGAGCGCTACCAACGTCACGAGCCCATGGGGCCAATCAAGCTTTTCGAGACGCGGAACACCACGGAATTTTTTGCAAGCATGTGTTACGGTCAACTGATCGAATCAACCGCAAAAAATGCGTTGTGACATGGGCTTTTAGTCTGGGTTTGAGGTGTGTTGGAACTAGCTCATCAGGGAAACATACCAGCTTGTGTGTATTGAATCTTGCTGGCTAAACATTTGAACAAAATACAATGACCAGGCGTAAGTTTTTACACAAATGAAACAAAAAACTTTTTTTTTTTTAGGTAAGGATATTTTTTTTGAGGACGTAGAACAAGTGATATTTCTAGTCCTATCTAAACATACAAAAATTTAAAGTTCCCACAAACTAGATACAAAATTGTCTACTTATATCACGTTACATCGACGCCTAACGTAAAATGACGTAGCACCTGAATGTATTTTTCTGAGCCTTCATGGCCACAAAATCCTGGGCTAAACCCCTAAGCCTGCCCAATTCGATTTGAATGAACATCGTGGCCGCATGCGGTAATGTATCAGTACTGCGTGATGCACGTTAATGATTCCAGGCTGGTAGTGATACTGCATTAGCTAAATATCTCATTCACAACAAAGACAGCAGGCGCCGATGAGGACTTACTCACTTCCTGCTGCCTAAACATACACACTATAATTATTATTTTATGGCTACAAGGTTTGGCGTACCATCACGGCAACACATCTCTAGATAATACACATACTTCAAAAACGAATATTACCAGTCAATTCTGTCATGTATACCAACCCCCAAACTGGGATGTAGTCAGTTGTGACCTAAATCTCGGAAAAGAAATGTTATGGCATAGATTACCCCAAACTGCATAATACTTTTTACTCGAATGATGCTACCTTAGAAAAAAAGAAAACGATGAATGATTTACGTGATTTGATGTATAATATTTTTTCGTCTAATAATGTTTTTTAGTTCTGTATCTTGCGTATTCGCTGCTGCAGAATGCCATATTGGGGGCCGAGGGCTTGTGAAGCCGCTTTGTGTGTGTTTTTTTTTTCGGCCTCCGCCTTTGAGAATAGGAAATAAAGATTACTAATATTATAATTAAAACATGTTTTCATATTAAGCTTCCTGTCATAATAACTCCTGTAACTTCGCGATAATCGTCTTTCTTCTTCGTAAATTTTGTTTTATGTTTTCATTATATGCATACATTTGTAGGTCAACGGCGCTGGTGCCTGTGGGTGCTAGAAATAAGAATGTTATTATTATTGCTCTTCGGTATGCGGAGCGCAAGTTCGTCTGCTTCTTTTGCAGGGGTTCTTGTGACGTCAGAACGACGAGCTCTGATTGATTTCTAAGACTTGAGAGTGCTTTTCTCCCCACGCAGTGGATCACCTCTTGGGAAACGTGCTCAGCTTCTTTGTCGCCGGCTCCACGACAGTCCGCTCGGCGATACAGTGGAACGTGCTGTACCTTGCCTCTCAGCCCGACAATCTACAGTTGATGATTCAGCGCGAAATCGACGAAGTGGTCGGCAAAGATCGGTCGCCATCGTGGGAAGACCACGAAAATATGCCTCTCACCGTGGCCACCATATGGGAGATGTTCCGCTGGAGGACTGACTCAACTTTTGGCGGACCACGAGAGTAAGACCATCCACTTCGCTTGACACTAATCGAAGCTTCTCGTTAGAACTCATTGCACGAGATGCGACTGAAGTTTGACCTAGTTGGAGCAGCATGCTTTCGGGGCGCGGTGAGAACTGCGCACACAAAAGGTGACCACGAGACAAAGCTGCACACGCACAGCGATGCACTGTGTGCCTGTTACTTTCTTTAGTAGTTGTCTTTTGTGTGCACCATTGTACACACAAGCCGTAACCACACTTACAACGTATATCTGAACATTTGAAAACTGGTTGAATGTATCAATGTTCGAAAGATTTGGCGTTTCAACGGCAGACCTGGTGCAAAGAGCAGACGGCGCCCTTGTTTGCAATGATTGGAGGGAGACGGTGGTTAGAGACAAATCAAGCAGCACAGATTCAGCCAATCATTGGCCAATGACTGGAAATGGTCCTCCAGCTATTGGCCAGACAGTGGCCAGCCATTGGCTGATGACTGGCCTTTCTTTGGCCCTTGTCCAATGGCCACTGGACATCAGGCATCGGTCAGCCATTGGCCGATGAATGGCTACTCTCCGGGCATTGGTTGAAAGATCATCGCCAGCCATTGGCCAATGCTTGGCCGAATACCGTACTGCTTTGCAAGGCAGTATAGACTTTGCGCGTACACACTAATCACTCCAATCAGAGCTGAGCTTCGCGCACTTTAATCTCAGTTATACTTCTAGCTGCTGTTTTTATAGCGCCTAAACAGAAAACAAATCTTCTATTCAGGATAATCGAAGACATCGTCGTCGGCGAGTACAGCATACCCAAGGGAACGATGCTCCTGCCCAATGTCCGGGCTGTACACAGCGATCCCAGGCTGTGGAAGAACCCAGAAGATTTTGACCCATTCCGGTTTCTGAGTGAAGACGGCACGTGTCTCGTCCCGAAGCCAGAATACCTGATTCCCTTTTCACTTGGTACGTAACGTTTTACGGCAGGAATATTAGCTTGAGCGGAAGAAATAACTCTTCCGAAATGATGAACAGGCATTGCAAATTAAACACGCAACGCCTGACTGTATGGCACGTTAAAATATATTACTTGTAACGCCCGCGACACAAAGGTTTCTGTAAACAGAAGCGGCTAGTCCCTATATCGCTTTTGCTGTCACCTAGGTTTCACAACCTTACCGACACCTGTTTTAATTCGTTTTCATCTAGCTGTACTTATAAATGCCTATATGCATGCCTTTTCGCAGAATAGTTTAGTGCGATCTTTGAGGATAAACGATGTCAGCTCTCGTAAAACGGAACCAAGACAAATTTCATGGAGAGCTCTGAATGGGGAAGCGATCGTTTCGCTCACGAGTCGGCTTCTCGAGGATGCTGATGAAGGCTAAGTCAACTGCCACTTCGAGAAACACCAAAACTTTATTAAAAAAAAAAAACACACACACACACACACACAGAAGACGCCAGTCATCGTATTCAACGTTCATCGTTTTAATTCCTACCTATACTCAATTTCACCTAACAATGAACCGCATGCAGAGGACGCTACGGGTTGTCGAAGCCAACTCAAGCCGTTTGATTTATCGAAGCCAACTCAAGCCGCGTGATTATTGCGTGACTTTCAGGAGGGGTGCGGCAACGCGCGGGTTAAGTGATCACGTGACGCGTTTACAGCTTTGGATTCACTTGAAATTAGGGATGTCGCGAACCAGTCTAGGTTCGATTTCGAAAGGTTTCGATACTTTCGAAGCGAACTGACGTTCGAATTCGAAAAATTTCGATATTGTCATACCGACCGAGGTTCGAATTCGAAAAATTCGCAACTTTCGATCACAGTGGAGTTTCGAATTCGAAAAGATCGAAGCTTTCACGGTTTCTAAAATTTCGGGTTCGATTATTTTGAATATTTTTTTACTTGAGGTTCGATAAATTCGAAGTTTTCGAACTTTCCGAACTTCAAAATTCGAGATATTCGAAAATATCGAATTTCCTCAGATCTGAAATTTGAAAAATGAATTTCCTTGGTTATAAAATCGAAAAATTCGAACGCTTCGAGTTTGTATAAACATAAAGTTCAAAAAATCGAATATTTCGAACTTCTTTCTACATAAAGTTCGAAAAGTTCGAAGGTTTCGATTCTCTTTTAACGCTAAATTAAAAAAAAAAAATCGAAGGTTTTGAATTTTATTTCGGTCCAAGTTTTTAAAGTTTGAAGTCCGGTTTTCATGTTCCTCCACAGTTTCAGTTTCAAATAATGTTTTCACAACTCACTGTTTTTCACGAAATCAGGTTTAGAAAAGATAGGGTGGGATATTTAGACTCCGCGAAGTTGAGTCAGGCAATTAAATGAGACTACAAGTGTCCCGGATGTGGAGGAATATTTGCTAGTGCAGATGCAGAGTGACGTGTGACCATAGATCAGTACCCCGGGGTTGGGGGGGGGGGGGGGGGGGGGAAGGAGGGGGGGGGGGAGGGTCTTTAGCGTGTATCACACAGTAGTGATCACACAAACGCACTGTTTTGCGATACTCATCCAGTTCGAAGCGTCCAGGGGCGGGCGGGACCGGTTGAAGCTCAGAAAAACTTTAAAGCGACCTGGCAAACTACCTCCCCACCCGTTGCACGCTGGTAGTAATCCGATCGAACACCGCCCGAGTGACGCTGACATATAGTAAATTAAGTTTGTAATTGTCCTGGAAGTTTATTTTCCGGGACGGAGGAAACGCCTCGCAAAAAAGCACAGAAGCCGACACAACTTGAGGTCGAGGAGCGTTCTACCATACAATAGGCGACGGAAGAGGAAAAACGGGAAGGGGGGGGGGGGGGGGGTGAGGGGGCTGCAGCCCCCCTTTCCCCCTTCCAGATATTTCGGACTGTTAAAGAAAGCAATACGGGGAAAGAGGGCACGGTAGAGCTTATTTTAATCTGAAATTATTTATGCATATGTATAGCTACTATCGCTCTTCACTGCATAAAAGATCGAGTAGATAGTCATTCTCGAAAACTCGTTGTCAGAAGGCACTACTTGTCACATGCTTAGTGGTTCGAAAATTCACAGCTATGTCTTTTCGATCTGAATAACTGTGCCATTGATAAAAATAAATATAACAATTAGTGCGGGGTAAAAAGCTGAAGAGAAAAAAACTATCAAGAATTCGACGGAAGTGTTGTATCCTTGCATATTCAGAAGCTCAGAACTTCAAAACAAGTTTCTCCTACCAAAATGTGTGCAGGCTAAAAGAAACACGTCCCAAGAACGTGAAGCGAAAAAACAAATGTTTATTTTTCAATGACGTGCTGAACTTGAACAATATTGGATATCTTCTCCCATGAGTTAATTTAATCCTGAACGTGAAAAAACAATAAATACATTATTTTGTATTCTGCAGATGGAAATGTAATGTACTGTCTGTAGTGTTAATTTAAATGCAATACCTTAAACAACTTAGACGAAAAAAAATACCAAGTTTAGGGCATAACTACCCATAGATAATGTTTGGACATTTCTTAGAAACTTATCTTAAATAACAATAATCACATCTTAAGACAACTCGTACCTAGGCTATACATAGATCATTCTTAAAAAAGTTTAACATCTCTACCATAAACAGCTTCGGCTATAGCGCGCTTCAAATATGGCACAAACGACAATCGTCGAAAAACAGTCGTCCTTCCTCGCCCCTTCGGGAATTTATTTCTTTAAAACTAAGCCCGCCAGAACATTGAAATAAACGGCATTGTCTTTCGTAAGGAACGCAGCACCGCATGTAAAAATTCGAAAGAAAAAAGAATTTCAAATGTACCTCACTACTTGAACTCAAATGAAACCGTCCGCCGGTCTTTCGAAGTTCGACGAACGTCAAACTTTTACCCTAAAAGTTCGAAGTTCGTCAAACTTTTGACACGTCAGGAATCGAAAATTCGAAACATTTCGAATTTTCTTGATAAATAAGTTCGAAAGTTCGAAAATTATCGAATTCCTTAGAGTAGGAAATTCGAAAGTTGGAAAAATTTCGATTTCATTAGTGCAAGAAGTTCGATAGTTCGAAAATAATCGAATTTTTTGGTATATCAAGTTCGAAAGTTCGACAAGCATCGAATTTTGCAGCGTAATAAGTTCGAAAGTTCGAAAAGGATTGAATTTTTTAGCGTCATAAGTTCGACGGTTCGAAAAGCGTCGAACTTCTTAGTTTAACAAGTTCGAAAATTCGACTTCCATCGAATTTTAGAATATAGAAAGTTCGAAAATTCGAAATCTTTCGAACCGCTTGATTCGATAGTCGAAACTTTGATTCGTAGAAAGTTCGCGGCATCCCTCCTTGAAATGACTCGTATACAGTCTGCTGCGATCCATCGTCAGACGAATCGGTGGTCAGGTAACCGCAGAAAACATTGACCTCGATTTGATGTTGCTTTCTTCCCGCAGGAAGGCGAATGTGTCCCGGAGAAATCCTCGGCATGGCGGAGGTCTTCCTCTACGTGGCGTCCATCTTTCAGCGATTTCGGGTTTTGCCCCAGGAAGGCGTGAACATCAACCTCGCCCCGAGGAGCCAGAATTTCCACGTTCCGTTCCCGCAGAAGTTGCGCTTTGTTCCGCGGTGTGCAGACAACGTCAGACCTCTCTGAATGGCGCTTTGTATAGTCATGAAGGACCAATGTAAACGAAGATCTGCCAGCGTTCGTAGGTTTTTGTTGTTGTTGTTGTTTTGTGGGACGAGGGAAAATTTAGCTTTCCCTCGTTTCTTGGACAGAGGCTTGGAGCATGCCCATCATTTGAGTTCAGAGAGCCACTCACATGCTCTGCTGACGGTTCATCAAGGCCTCCGCTGTTCCGAAAGCAAGAAAGGTGAAAAGTGACCGCACGAAGGCGAGAAAGCAAGCCGAGCTGTCTACGTGGTTGATGCCCAAACCAAAAATGGACGGGAAATATAAAAAAAAAAAAAATAAAGAAAATGTGGCAGGTGTTTTTTTTGTTTTTTTTTTCCGTGACAGCAAATGTGGTATCCTGTTTGGTCATATATTTAGGTGTACATTATGTCTTGTGAAAAGTTGACAGCTTTTACCTGAAAAGATTTGACATAACGTAGAAACAAAAAGACAAATTACGTGACAGCATACAAGAAGGGTACTACCGCGCGGACAATGGGCGCGTTAAAGGAGCTGTGCAACGATTTTAACGGTGAAAAGAATTTGCATCTTCTACTTTTTACATTGTTTATCTTGTCACAATAGACAGAAAACACACCTCCTTCCTTCAAAATCTTGCGATTTCGCCGCGTAATGGCTAGGCAAAAATTAAAATATTACCCGACCTGCACCCGCGAGCGGCGGCCACGAGAACCACGCGGCATGACGTCAATGGGGGACTTGTAAAAAGATAGCGAGTTGTGCAAATACCTGCTCGATAAAAGGTAATTTTGTTATAAACCCTTTTCGTTCCAACATAAATATAAATGCGTCAAAAATCTGGTATCATCGACAAAACCTTTATTATACAGAGTTTTAGTGGCGCCATCTATCCGAGGTCCACAAAACCGTCAGCTCTATCTGCTACCGCGAGCCGCCGCCAGAAGCCGGACGGGGATGGCCGGACCCGGGTGAGACTTTCCTCCTTTCGCCATGTTGATGGCGCTGGCTGCGCAAGCACGTGGTCGCGAACGGGTGAGTTCTCGCTGCTCATTGATGGCTCTAGAGAGAGTGCTTCACCGGGACCACGCGCGTGCCCCATTCACATCACAGTGCACGTGACTCGAAAGATGCTGCAGGAGTTGAGAGGTGCCGAAAACCTCAATCTTTGTCGTTTTTTAAAATAAAAAAAAACTATAAACATGCAAGCAAAAGCGTTTTCTTTTTTTTTAGAAAGGTCGAGACACCAACTCCCAAATTATTTAAGAAAAGCACTGAAATTGTTGCACAGATCTTTTAAGTCCGTGCTCCGGTGCGCGAGAGTTTGACGCTTCGTTAACTAGACGGACAGGAGCGCCCCCGGAGACTGACACTCGAGCGCGCTCTTCGTGCACCGCGGATTAAGTCCGTGACGTCACGTTCACAAACAAGATGGCTGCACTGACGGAAGCGTCGAGACGAAAGGTGCTGCCAGATGCAACCCCTTTTCGGATGATTAGTGCTTAACCCAGCAGGGAAAAACAATTTGATTTGAAAGCCAAGACAGCAATTAGCGTTTCGGGAGAAGGTTTGTCCGTGCATCTCGCCTAAAAACGAATTCATACATCAAACAGTAGCGTGGCGATAGACCAGCGACAGAAAAGTGGTCAAAATGAGAAGACGGTCGAACCGCTCTGCCCCTTTTATAATGCTTAGCATAGCTAATAAAGATACTTCAATTGGAAAGCCGAACCATCAGTTAGCATTGCAGAAAAAGTTTGTTCATGCACCTTGTCTGAAAACGACTTGACCTGTTATCTACTAAACGGCGGTGTGACGCTATCGACATTGCACATCGACAGGTTCCGTCTTGCAGCGCGAGACGGAACCTGCCGATCTGACAACGTCGACAGTTTCCTGCGTCAACAAGCGGGTTCAAAATGTTGTCTTTAATTTAAGTCTGAACAGCATGCATGGTCAATAAACAGATCGGTCAAGGTAACTTTCCGCATATGTGCTCAAAGCCAGTCTTCAATTTTTTCGCGAATATTAAAACATTCAAAGAAACTTCCCAACATCACCGTCTTTTTTTTTTTCAATTTACATTCTGCCTCTTCACGGAGGCCTAAATGAATTAATCTTTGAAATAATTTCGGCTTCTGTCACCGGTATCTGCGGGATACAGTGTTCGTCATAACCGTGCGGTCGCAAAGAGCTCGTGTGGCTCGTCGATAGCTTCGGTGTCTCGCGCTACTGTACGCCGTGCACCGTTTGATTGCTGCATTCGGAGTATGAAACCCGAAGCGTCGTAGTAGGAGTAGAGTTCGGACTTAACGCGCCCAATCTGATCTAAAACAACCCTCAATAAATCTTTAAAATGATTGTCAATAAAAGATTATGTACAAACATTTCTCGGAACGCACGTTTAGGTTCCAATAACTGAACTTACACTTTGGGAGATAATAGAGCTTGTGGGAGTGCAGCAAGAACTCGTATTGTACGATAGAGTGCACTCTAATAAGGCCTGAGAGTTCATTTTTTTTTTCTAAAGCATAGCCAGCCGATAAAAGCAAAACGCAGAAATATCCCAGAGGATGTTGAAGCTCGGAAAACGAATGAAACAAAACAATACGATGCGAGAGGGAGCTTCAAGTATGACGTTTCACTTGTTCATTGCCCCTGCGAAAATAGAGTTTTGAAGATCTAATCGTATCATGTCCTCCGTCATTAGATTTAATTCTTCGAATTGTCCGCCGCAATTGACTGTCTCCGAAAAAAAACATTTTTTTTTTTTTTAAGTGTAGCGTTGAAGTTATATGTTCGGAAGTCCTCTGACTGGTTTAAAATAGTCATTAAATGAAAAATAGGAACTCTAACCAAAAGCTTAATAAACAGTGAACCCGACCTGTCGAGGCCTGTTCACCCGTGAACGAGGGACCGAACTGGTCTCGAAATGTCGGGTTTCCTGTTTACGAAACTTTTGGCTAGAGTCCCTATTTCTTGCTTAAAGGGGAGTGTGTGCTCCGCGAACAATTTCACAGGTGGCAATACTAACTATCGCGGGGAAATAAAATTGACACACCTGAGCGAGTATTACAATTTGTAAAGTGCGCACCAAACGTCAGAAAGAACCTAAAAGAGAGCAGTGTAATGGGTGCCATGTTAATGTCTCTGGACAAGATTCTATCCACCAGATCTGGTTCGAAAAACGGGGCCACTGACATCTTAAAAGAATGAGTAGTATTTAGTCAAAGAAAACAAATAGCTGGGAACTCACGGCATCAATGCTTTCACTAAGGTACGATATCCGGAAAGGTACAACTGATTGGTAAAGTTTGATCTCAACCACGCACGAACGCGCTACCTAAATGGATCCAATGGTTAATTTGTGGACTCACTCGGTCCCTTCATGTTCGCTCTCTCTCCTAGACGGCGCTGAGGTTCGGCCGGAGAAAGTAAAAACACAGACGAGAAAGGGGGGTGACAGGCAGGGATACCAGCAAGGGCTATTTATTAATAGTCAGACTGAACTACTTAGTACTGCATTTGGCGTCGAAATGTAGCGGTTTGCTTTGTGGCTATTTTTGGGCGGCTTCATATACTAACGCGTCAATTTTTTTTGCTTGATTTACAGTAGATGCACAAAAGTCACTTAAGCCTTGGCACAAAGCGACAGTCCACCCTTTCCGGATTTCCGCTTTCAGGAATTTTCTGTGTGAAGATGTGCGGGCGTGACGATAGATTCTATTATCTCCAGTGAGCTACCATGACCTAGATTCAGCTCCGAAGACATCGCTTTTGTATTCATTGTGGCTTATCTTATGCTCCGAACTTTTTCCTCCTGACATCTCTCATTTCCTCAATCTTTCCACCGCCCTCCTACAGGAGACACCTCTTTCAAGGAAAAAAGGACACTAAAGGCAACTCAAGATATACAGCAGAATTGGATGTTGTCCAATAACGCGTGCTGTACCGGAAATAAGAAAGGAGGCTTTTCCGCAAAATATGGAAGTTTCTTAGTACAGTGAGCCATAAAAAAGACGACAAATTTCGAACAATAAATAATTCGAACCAGGCCAAATCCAAAGCGCAGGAGCAGCCATGTTTCCGTTGCTATCCGATCTTGCCATCGTGTTCTTGACACTGCCCATGTCGAACGCCGCCGTGGAGAGAGCATTCAGTCACATGGCCCTCACAACATCAGACCTAAGGAACAAGATGTCCCTTCCAACTCTTCAAAACATCCTCTATGTAAAGTTTTCTTTCCTTGGGAAGAACGAGTGCTGTAAGGACATCAACCCTTCTGAAAAAGATTTTTCCCGTTTTAAAACAGAAATCATGTATGAGGCGAAGGAGGCGAGTGAGAGCGAGTGCTTTATAACCATGTGACCGCAAACACACGTGGGAAATGTTTGTACTTCTTTTGTTTAAAATAAAACGTTTCCAAAACATTTAGCGTGTCGTAGATCTTGTATGCTGCTCCTAAACCCTAGATATGTGGATTCACTGCATTCGCCATGAGCTTGTACATTCGAGCGCACGATTTTTGGGCTCTGAAGATATGGTTACTAAGGCTGTATTTGGGCTATATAAATCTTTTACTTTCGGCTACTTTTGGACTATACAGTCTGGCATTCGGCGGTATGATCTAGAACCTACCTGGCGACCCTGGTGACAGGCAGCCAATCTTCGCTGCTCGGGTTGCACCGTACTCGAAACGGGCCGGAGCAGAGATTGTGCAGCACGAGCCCCGACGTGCATCCTTATGCGACCTTTTCCGAAAGTCCTGAGGCAGAGTGTCGACGTGTCCGCGGTCTACCAGGGGAAAGCCAGCGTAAATCAGCTGTGTACTATGGGCGTCGAGTTGCAAAAGAACAGTTGCCACCCCAAGCCCAAACGCCGAGCAATCGGGGTGAACGTTGATTCGCTAACAAGCGAAAAAAATAGCCACCGAAAGCAATTTAAAAATAAAATTAAGAGTAACTATCAAATCATAAAGAAAGGAGGTGTCTTGCCCCGCATTCCGTGGAAGAAACAAATAGAAAAAAAGGGCAACCAAGGTACGGGCTTGA